GGCTCCGAGCCGGCCCCTTACGCGGCCCCGCGCCGGCCTCCTTCTCGGCCCCGCCGCCGGCCTCCTACACGGCCCGCCGCCGGCCTCCTACTCGGCCCGCCGCCGGCCTCCTACACGGCCCCGCCGCCGGCTCCTACTCGGCTCCGCCGCCGGCCTCCTACACGGCCCGCCGCCGGCCTCCTACACGGCCCGGCCCCGGCTCCTACTCGGCCCGCCGCCGGCCTCCTACTCGGCCCGCCGCCGGCCTCCTACACGGCCCCGCCGCCGGCTCCTACTCGGCCCCGCCGCCGGCCTCCTACTCGGCCCGCCGCCGGCTCCTACTTGGCCCTACCGCCGGCCCTACCGCCGGCCTTGTCCCGGCCCCTACTACCGCCTCTTCCCCTACCGCACTCCGTCCCTCCCCCCACCCCCCCTCTTCTTGGTTCCAGGTCCCCCCCCAGTAGTCCCCCTCCCCCCTCAGGGTCCTGCCCCTTCAGGTGTGTCTCAGGTAGACGCGGTCGAGCCTGTCGAGGTCACTGGTGACTCCGGTGCTGCTGCGGGAGCTGAGCCTGGGGGTGCGGAGTCTAGGGGTGCTGAGCCTGGGAATGCGGAGTCTGGGGGTGCTGGGCCTGGGGGTGCTGAGCCTGGGGTTGCTGAGCCTGGGGGTGCTGTGCCTGGGGGTGCTGTGTCTGGGGGTACTGAGCCTGGGGGTGCTGAGCCGGGAGGTGCCGAGCCTGGAGGTGCTGTGCCTGGGGGTGCTTCGTCTCACCGGGGGCCGCTCTCTCCACAGGAGCTGCGTGAGTGGTTTGCCCGGCGCTGGAGGCGTGCCGCTGGTGCTGGTGGTTCTTCGGCTGCGGAGGGCGCTGCTGCCACGCGACCTGGCGGTGCTCGTCCTGTGGGTGCTGGAGCTGCTGGGTCTGAGTGTTCTCCTGGAGCTGGTCCTGCTGAGGACGTTGGCGCTGAGCCTGCGGTTGGTGGTCCGACTGACGGTGCTCCTGGTGCTGCTGCTGGAGGTTCTGGAGCTTCTGGTGGTTCTGCTGGAGGTGCTGCTGGAGTGGGTGCTCCTGCCGGGGGTGCTGGTGCTGTTCCTGCTGTTTCTGGCGTCGCCGCGCGGCCTCGACCGTACTTCGTTCCGCTCCTGCAGCAGGTTCTTGGTCTTACACCTCCTCCTCCTTCCTTAGAGGGTCCGCAGCCTGTCCGGTCACAGCCACAGCTACAGCCTGCCTCCCCTTTGCCTGCTCCTTCTCCCTACGCTGGTCCGACTGGAGGTCTTACTGAGCGTCGTGAGCCTGCGTCTCGTCCTGCGTCGCCTGTTCGTACTGAGCGCGCTAGTGGTCGCGGGTCGCGTCAGCGTCCTCCTCCTGTCCCTGGCACGCACCGGATGTCACTGCGTCCGTCCACTGCTCCTCTGCGTGCCCCTTTGCCTTCTCCTCCTGCTTCCTCTCTTCCTGCTCTTGCCGACCCGGAGTCGGACTCTCTTCGTGCTGCCAGTCCTACTGTCACGCGTCTCCTTGCTACTGCTGTCACTGACCCTTCCTTCGAGTCGTCTGCTGCGTCTGCCCTTGTCACTGAGCTTGTCGACTTTGCTGCGCGCTGTCGTCTAGACTACGCTGCTCGTCTTGTCGCTGAGTCTGAGTCCGCCTGTCCTCCGTCCGTCGGGGGTGAGTGTGCCCTTGGCACGGACGTCCTAGAGGACAGGCAGGAGGAGTTCCAGTGTCTAGCCGCTGCTTCACCTCGTCTCGCGTCTGTACTGCTAGCCCCTGAGGGAGACCCGGATGCACTAGACATCCCGACTCCGCGTTCTTACGCGGAGGCCGTAGAGGGTCCCTACTCCTCTCAGTGGCAGGCAGCTATGGATGCAGAGATGGCTTCCTGGAAGTCCACAGGCACCTACGTTGACGCGGTTCCCCCTCCTGGGGCGAACATCGTCAGTGGCATGTGGATCTTCAGGGTGAAGCGGCCGCCGGGCTCGCCGCCTGTCTTCAAGGCGCGTTACGTGGCTCGTGGCTTCAGTCAGCGGCAGGGAGTTGACTACTTTCAGACCTTCTCTCCCACCCCGAAGATGACCACTCTTCGGGTGCTGCTGCACATTGCCGCTCAGCGCGACTACGAGCTTCACTCTCTCGACTTCAGCACTGCGTTCCTGCAGGGTAGCCTGCACGAGGAGATCTGGCTGCGCCGTCCGCCTGGCTTCACTGGGACTTTCCCTCCTGGCACCCAGTGGAGCCTCCGACGGCCAGTCTACGGTCTCCGCCAGGCACCGCGTGAGTGGCACGACACACTGAGGACTACGCTTGCGGCTCTTGGGTTTGCTCCTTCTACTGCTGACCCGTCGCTGTTTCTTCGCACCGACACTTCCCTGCCGCCGTTCTACATCCTCGTGTACGTCGACGACTTGGTCTTTGCCACAGCGGACACTGCTGGACTCGCCTACGTGAAGTCCGAGCTGCTGAAGAGACACACGTGCACAGACCTGGGTGAACTGCGCAGCTACCTTGGCTTGCAGATCACTCGGGACAGAGCACGCCGCACCATTACCCTGACTCAGTCACACATGGTGCAGCAGGTCCTTCAGCGCTTCGGCTTCACGTACTCCTCGCCTCAGGCCACTCCTCTGCCTACTCGCCACTCACTCTCAGCTCTGCCTTCGGATGAGTCCGTAGAGTCGAGTGGTCCGTATGCAGAGCTTGTTGGCTGCCTCATGTACCTGATGACCTGCACTCGACCTGACCTTGCATACCCTCTGAGCATCCTTGCACGCTATGTTGCTCCTGGGAGACACCGACCAGAGCACATGGCTGCAGCGAAGAGGGTATTGCGCTACCTGTGCAGTACGTCGGGCATGGGGCTAGTGCTTGGAGGGCGGAGTCCAGTGGTCCTTACTGGGCACGCAGACGCTTCTTGGGCTGACGACCAGGCTACGCAGCGGTCGTCACAGGGTTACACCTTCAGCCTTGGTTCCGGCTCTGTCTCGTGGCGGTCTACTCGCTCGTCTTCGGTTCTCGGCTCCAGTTGTGAGGCTGAGATCTACGCCGGGGCCATGGCTGCACAGGAGCTTCGCTGGCTCACCTACCTGCTGACTGACCTTGGAGAGCTGCCTCGTTCTCCTCCAGTGCTGTACGTAGACAACAAGGCCATGTTGGCCTTGTGTCGAGAGCAGCGCTTGGAGCACAGAACGAAGCACATTGCTCTCCGCTACTTCCTTGCTCGTGAGCTGCAGCAGCGTGGTCAGTTGCGACTTGCTTACGTGGCCTCTGAGGCCAACACTGCTGATGTGTTCACCAAGGCACTTGCGCCTTGCGACCATCAGCGCTTTTGTACCCAGCTGGGTCTTGTACCTGTCTTGCCTCACTTGCTCTCTTCTTGACTTTACTTGTACTTTGACATATATATACCTGCTCTTGCTTGTCTAGTTTTATATATATGTCTTTACTCCTGCATGTGAACTGGCCTCTGGCCTTGCTCTTGTGCTCGGACTGTGTGGTGACTTTGTGATCCACCCTGAGCTTGTTTTGCTTTGCTTGACTGGTCTTGTGACCCCTTGTTCTCCCCCACTTTGCCTATGGGGGTGTGTCAGATTATTATAGCTGATGCATGTTTGTAGGCTATAGTGGGGTAGCACATATGGGGTACAGTTTGCTAGGGTTGTATTTGTACCCAACTCTGACTTAGTCAATTCATTCCTCTACTCATAGTTTCACACGGAATGCATGTTGCCATCACCAAAATGTTGCTGACCCAAAGCCAACCTTGACCCCAGGCTGACCCGACCCAGACCTATCCCGTGGGTCACCTCTGGGTCATGACATTTTGGTGATGGTATGCCTGTAACGTATTGCCTAGTCAGCAGCTCCCTGGTTTCCCCTAATCACCTAACTATGCTAGGCGCGACCTACGCTAGCTAGAAAGTGTCGAGGGAATTGTGTGTAGGGAAGCTAGAGTGGTTGGGTTGGGTAACATTTGTCACCAACCACCACAAAAGGACAAATCAGGTTGGAAAACGTTCCAACCCTCACATTGGTTGGAATTCCAACCAACCAGAATTGAGCAGCATTGTTGTTACACCTTAGCTTGCAAATGTGTGTAGGTGCTCAATGTTCATTGGCTTACAATATATTTTCTTGCCACCTAAGCAACCCCACCTTAGGAGCTCCTCCACCTTGTGGCCAGGGAGGAGGAGAAGCTCCCCAAGGAGGTATTGGAAGGGGTCTGAGCCAACAGCTCATTCTTCCCATTCCAACTTCCAACAACTCAATATTGGAAATGGGATTTTGTCTAAGTCTTTGCTATTCCCCTCACAACTCTAGCAAGCCTAGCTCTCACATGTGATAGTTCTCCAACCAAGGGTTTTCTTAGCTGAAACTCTACTCCTGCTACTACGAGCTTCTACTTAAGAGCTGCACGCCATCAGCAAAGTGACTCTTGATTACGTGGAGTATTGCTTGTAATTTCAAGATCTTGTACTGCAACTTTATAAACTCTGTTATTTTAAGCCTGCAGCCCGTTGCTTATAAGGGCAAGGTTGTTACATTGGTATCAAGAGCTTTGGTTGATCCTTACCCTTGTGTGGATTGATCTTTGGATTTTTTTTTTTTTTTTTTTTTTTTTTAGATTTCTTCTCTTTGAGCCAAGGGCTCTAGATAGCTTTTTAAGCATCTTGAAGAGAAGATATCAAGACTTGAAGAGTTGAAGATTACAAGTTCCTCCAGCTCCAAACCTTCAAGCAACTCTAAGAGAGTAAAATCTCTCTTGCTCACCATTCTTTGGTGGAGGACTCTTCTTGATCTTAAGATCTTGTTGGGGATATATTCCTTGTGAATATACCTACTCTGTCACTAAGGTGATAGAACGATTAACAACAAGAATCTTGTGTGGAGAACATCTTAAGAGTTTCTGTTACGAGTGCTCTTTAAAGAGCCTCTTCCTTTATCATTATTTGGTAAAGAGATTAAACAGAAATTTAAGATTTTCAACATTTGATATTTAAAGATCTACAAAGAGTAACCCTCCTTGACCCATCCATGGCTAATAGCCAAGATATGGAAGCTACTAGGGAGGAAGGTCCCCTTGCTGCCACTGAAGCTGCCCACACCCCTGCTGACATTGATCTCAATCTGGATGAAGCAATGGATGATTTGGAGATGAATGTCAGTGAGGAGGATGCTGCTGACAACCTGCAAAACGATGCTGAAAATTCTCAGGATAATGCTGAAAAGCAGCAGGATGCTGAAGCAGCAGCAGGGGAGGGTTCTGAGGCAGAAGAAGAATATGAGGACCCTCTTGTTGTAGAGCTTGAGAAGCTGAAATCTCAAGTCTCTAACCAACACATCACAATTGTGAAGCAGCAATGCCTCATTGACGGGTTGAGGACCGAGCTATCGGTGCAGCAAGCGCAGGCTCTCGATTTGAAAGCTCAAATGAGCCATGTTGCTCACGATGCTCGCGACCACACCCGCATACTTGCTTCCAAGTCTCGTCAGATTAATGAGCTGCAGGAGACTTGCAGGCAGCTGCAAGCTACGTGCGCGCAGCTGCAATCTCAAAACAGGGATTTGAGGCATGCAAACGTCTACCGCCCTCCTCCTAACGTCGGACGTCCTGCAGCGTCGACGAGCACACCCGCCGCCGCTCCTGCTGCAGCTCCTGCTCCTGCTGCAGCTCCTGGCTCTGCAGTAGCGCCTGATCCTATGGCGTCACCGCAGTACCCTCCTGGGTTCGCGCCACCTGCCTTTGGCTCCCTCCATGCTGTCTTGCCTAGGTTCATTCCTGGCAAGACGGATGTGGACACGTGGCTCTCCCTTGCGGCTGATACAATGGCTCATCGCAAAGTGCGCCGTGATGCATATGTGGTGGCCGCTACAATCGCGTTGGATGAGAAGGCAAGCAAGCTAGTTTATGCTAGCAAGCGCCAGGCCGAGGCCAAGTCCGAGCCGTTCGGTTGGGAGGAGTTTTGTACTGCGATGAGGTTGGCGTTCTTGGTGCAAACCCCAGAGCTAGAGGTGCGCAACCGTTTGGAGAACACCTCATGCGGAGACAGGCCGGTGCAGGAGTACGCCAATGAGTTTGAAAGCACTCTGCTGATGCTGAAGGACTCTCTGCCCGAGCGTGAACTCATTCATATGTTTTTCAAAGGGCTGCCCGAACACATTCGGACCATGCACATCGCCAAGGGGCAGCACCAGTGGGACACGTATAAGCAGTGCAAGGAGGACGTGATAGTCACGGGTGTGCATTTCCGTGCTTACCTCAACAAGCCTAAGCAGCAGCAGCAACAGCAGCAGCCTAGGGCTGACGGCGCTAGCGGCAGTGGCTCTCGGCCCCAGCCACCAAAGGGCAAAGGCACTTGGAACAAACGCCCTTTCCAGCACCGTGGCGAGCCATCTGGGTCCCAGCCCATAAGGCCCAATGGGGGAGGATCCACAACCTCCAAGGGATCAGAGAGGCCTCGTGAACCCTGCAAGCACTGTGGCAAGGCGAACCACGAGTCTCGGTTTTGCCGCTGGAGGAATAGAATCAATGACTCTTTCAAGCCCAACCAGGGTGGCAAGCCAGGAGGTGCTGGTCCTTCGGGTTCGAAGGGTTTTCAGAAACCCAACTAGGGTGTGGATACCTAGTGGGTCAAGTAGATCGAGGGGATGAGGCTTATGTTTTGCTTGACGAGGATTTGTTAAAGCTAGAAACTCTTGCTGTGAACAGGATTTCTTGTGTGTTTGCCTCTTCTTTTAATAAAAACTCTTTGTTTTTATCTCGATCGTATCCACTTAACACAATTTCAATAGAAGCATTGAGAGATAAATTCTCTATAATTTGCTGTACGATTGAAATGTTACCGTCAATCATGGACGTGGTGGGTCGTTGTACCCAAGATCATCCCCTAACATCTGTTGGGTTGGTGATTCGTCCATTGAAAGGGAGTTTGTTTAAACTTTTCCATGACTAGATTTTGCTCGCAACATGTGATAAAGGTCGCCATGTCTGGTGGACAGAGTCTCAGCATCTGGGACGTGCGCACCATAAAATCAAGGTGTATTATCGCCCGTCTACAACTGTAGTAGCGTGTCCTATTCGCCCTAGATACCAACAAAATTTATTGTTGACGGGACGAATGAAGGGCGAGCATGCGAAAATCCTAGTCGACACTGGCGCTTCAGTATCGTTACTCGATGAAAGTTGGGCAACAGCGCATGAAGTCCTCGTTGAAGGACCGTCGTGTCCCATTCGTCTTGGTGATGACAGAGTCATCCCAAGCAAAGGACAGACACATGTCGACATGGAAATAAGTGGTTACCGCGAAACCATTCGCGTCTTCGTTCTACCACTTCTGGCAGGCGTAGACCTTGTTCTTGGAATGGATTGGTTAAGATCCAACGAGGTGATCCTCGATTTTCAACATAACACAGTCTCGTTCACTAAAAACGGAGAACCATTCCAATGGAAAGTCCGTACAAATGAACGCAGCCTAGTTCAACCAAGAACAGAACATGCTGATGTGTGCGTCGCTTTAGCGAACGGATTCGGACATCATGCCCGTTCGGCTGATACACTCTTTGTAGTGCAGCTTGAAAGCGTCGATAACCCGCTACCCGAGATTGAGGACTTTCCACCTCAGATGAAGGCGTTAGCGGATGAATTTAAGGAAGTGTTCGAATCAATTCCGGACGGTCTTCCTCCAGATCGTGCCGTAGGGCATACCATCCCGGTGGAACCTGGAAAGACCCCACCGTTTCGACCTCTATATCGTCTCAGCCCAGCTGAGTACGAAGAGGCTAAGCAACAAATTTAGGAGTACCTGAAAAAGGGATGGATTGAGCCAAGTGCTTCTCCGTACGGAGCACCAATCTTGTTCGTGAATAAAAAGGGCGGGGGATTACGCATGTGCGTTGACTACCGTGCCCTGAACAAGATTACGATTAAAAACAGATATCCTCTTCCTCGCATCGAGGATCTGTTTGATCGACTCCAAGGTGCACAATGGTTCAGCGCATTAGACCTCGCACAGGGATATCACCAATTGCGCATTACCAAGGAGGATGTACTGAAGACGGCTTTCCGAACGCCGTTTGGCCATTTCCAGTGGCGTGTGTTAAGTTTCGGCCTGACCAATGCCCCAGCCTCTTTTCAAAGAGCCATGAACGATGTGTTCCGGGAGGCGATTGATCAGTTCGTCTTGGTTTACCTAGATGATATCTTGGTATACTCAAAGACAGAAGACGAGCACACGCAACACCTCAAGTGGGTGTTAGGGAAGTTACGAGAACACAAGTTCTATGCGTGATTGTGGAAGTGTCATTTCTACAAGCGAGAGCTTGAGTACCTCGGACATATCGTGAGTAGTGAAGGATTAAAGGTGGATCCAAAGAAAGTGGAAGCTGTCGAAAGTTGGCCGACCCCGCAAGACGTGGGCCAAGTCCGATCATTCAACGGGCTTGCCAACTATTTTCGTCGCTTTCTTGAAAACTACTCGACGATTGTGGCTCCATTGACAGCACTCACTCGTAAGGGTAGTGCTTGGGAATGGACTACTAAATGCGGAGAAGCATTTAATGAGGTCAAGCACAAATTGACCAACGCTCCAGTACTGGTTTTACCAGACCCATCCAAACCGTATGAGGTTGTCACTGATGCCTCTACAATAGGGATTGGAGCAGTCCTTTTGCAAGAAGGACGACCGGTGGCATTTGAGAGTAGAAAGCTCTCCCCGGCAGAGCAACGCTATACGACCTCCGAACAGGAGTTACTGGCAGTCGTACACGCGTTAAGAACATGGCGTTGTTATCTTGAAGGTGTGGATTTCGTGGTCACAACAGACCGTTGTCCGAACACTTATTTTACTTCACAAGCCACTCTCACTCGACGTCAAGCTCGATGGGCTGAACTCCTGAGTGGGTTCACGTACGATATACGGTATCGTGCAAGCTAGACAAATATGGCTGACCCCCTGAGCAGACAGCCGATTGGGGCGGCCACAGGGCTCGACGATGATGAACACGCTGCCGTATTTTTCGCGTGCTTCAGCATCCTCGCAGCCGCCCGGGTGAGTGAAGTCGCCTTCAGTGGTTTTCTGAAACGTATCCGCACAGGGTATGATATTGACCCCTGGTTCCAGGAGCCACAAAATACGAAGGGACTTCAACGTGAGCATGAGCTCTGGTGGCACAAAAATGAAATTGTAGTGCCACACGTAGGCAACCTACGGAATGATATCTTGGAGGAAGTGCACGCTACCAAATACGGAGGACACTTGGGGATAAAGAAAACCCGGTGGGCACTCAGTGACGTATATTGGTGGCCGGGATTAGGCGTGGAAGTCCAGCAGTTTGTAACGCGCTGTGACACGTGTGCACGGAACAAGCCTAGCACACAACGACCCGGTGGTTTGCTTCAACCACTTGAGATTCCCGACGAGCCATGGGAGAGTGTGTCGATGGATTTCATCACCGATCTCCCCAAGACCCGTGACGGTCATACGGCGATCTTAGTTTTTGTAGATCGTTTGACTAAGATGGTGCACTTCGTGCCCACTACAACTGACGTGTCAGCGGAGGATACGGCCAAGTTGTTTGTGGCGCACGTTTTCCGTTTGCATGGGTTACCACGTGTGTTAGTGTCCGATAGGGACCCAAGCTTCACTAGACGATTTTGGCAGGAAGTTCTACAGACACTTGGGACGAAGCTCAAAATGTCTTCGGCATTCCATCCTCGGACTAATGGACAGACCGAACGAACAAATCGCACACTTGAGCACATGCTTCGTTCTTTTATTGGCCCAACACAGGATGATTGGGACGAGTTGTTGCCCGTCGTCGAGTTCGCGGCGAACAACTCCGTGCATGATGTGAAAATAGAAACGTGAATGAAATGACTGTGAGCGAAGTGAGTACAAATAGGAAACCCTAATTGGGTTGTACCCCCTATGGGATACCCCACTATAGCCTACACAAATAAGTAAGCTATATGTTCTGACACACCCCCATAGGCAAAGTGGGGGAGAACAAGGGGTCACAAGACCAGTCAAGCAAAGCAAAGCAAAGCTCAGGGTGGATCACAAAGTCACCACACATTCCGAGCACAAGTTCAAGGGCCACAAGGCCAGTTCACATGCAAGATCATATATAGAGATATACAAGAGTCAAGCAAGCAAGAGCAAGAGTATATATAGGTAAAGGTACAAGCAAGGTCAAGAAGTGACCAAGTGAGGCAAGACAGGCACAAGACCCAGCTGCGTGCAGCAACGCTGATGATCACAAGGCACAAGTGCCTTGGTGAAGACATCAGCAGTGTTGGCCTCAGAGGCCACGTACGCAAGTCGCAACTGTCCACGCTGTTGTAGCTCACAAGCAAGAAAGTAGCGGAGAGCAATGTGCTTTGTCCTCTGCTCCAGTCGCTGCTCTCGACACAAGGCCAGCATGGCCTTGTTGTCTACGTACAGGACTGGAGGAGAACTAGGCGGCTCTCAAAGGTCGGTCAGCAGGTAGGTGAGCCAGCGAAGTTCCTGAGCAGCCATAGCCCCGGCGTAGATCTCAGCCTCACAACTGGAGCCGAGAACAGAAGACGAGCGGGTAGCCCGCCACGAAACAGAGCCGGAACCAAGGCTGAAGGTGTAACCCTGTGACGACCGCTGAGTAGCCTGGTCGTCAGCCCAAGAAGCGTCCGCGTGCCCAGCGAGGACCACTGGACTGCGCCCTCCAAGCACTAGCCCCATGCCCGACGTACTGCACAAGTAGCGCAACACCCTCTTCGCTGCAGCCATGTGCTCTGGTCGGTGTCTCCCAGGAGCAACATAGCGTGCGAGAATGCTAAGAGGGTATGCAAGGTCAGGTCGTGTGCAGGTCATCAGGTACATGAGGCAGCCAACAAGCTCTGCATACGGACCACTCGACTCTACGGACTCATCCGAAGGCAGAGCTGAGAGCAAGTGGCGAGTAGGCAGAGGAGTGGCCTGAGGCGAGGAGTACGTGAAGCCAAAGCGCTGAAGGACTTGCTGCACCATGTGTGACTGAGTCAGGGTAATGGTGCGGCGTGCTCTGTCCCGGGTGATCTGCAAGCCAAGGTAGCTGCGCAGTTCACCCAGGTCAGTGCACGTGTGTCTCTTCTGCAGCTCGGACTTCACGTAGGCGAGTCCAGCAGTGTCAGCTGTGGCAAAGATCAAGTCGTCGACGTACACGAGGATGTAGAACGGCGGCAGAGAGGTGTCGGTGCGCAGAAACAGCGACGGGTCGGCAGTAGAAGGAGCAAACCCAAGTGCCGCCAGCGTAGTCCTCAGTGTGTCGTGCCACTCACGTGGCGCGTGGCGGAGACCGTAGACTGGACGCCGGAGACTCCACTGGGTACCAGGAGGGAAAGACCCAGTGAAGCCAGGTGGGCGACGCAGCCAGATCTCCTCGTGCAGGCTGCCCTTCAAGAAAGCGGTGCTGAAGTCGAGAGAGTGCAGCTCGTAGTCACGGTGAGCAGCAACGTGCAGCAGTACCCGAAGAGTGGTCATCTTCGGGGTGGGGGAGAAGGTCTGAAAGT